GTTATTTTGTCTTTTATTGTAAGACACTCTGAGCCTTTTTTTGGAGAAATGTGGCATATAAATCTAATAAAATACAGCTCACTTAGTTTCCCTTCTGATGCCTCTCTGTTGGTGGGTGGGGGTCTTCACAGATATTCCCCATGGGCACAGAGAGCCAGTGCAGCACCATCAAATAGGTTGTTGGCCTAAGCTGTTTGCTATCTTTGGGCCCTTACATCTTTGAGTGTTCCCACTAATTTAAATGGGACTGCACGTGCAATTAAGAGACCTGCAGGGTTGGGCTCTAAATGGACAACATACAGACAAAGGAGAGGCAGAAAGGACTGTCAATAGTTTTGTGACACACCACTTAGCCTAAATTTACTATGCATTAATCAACTATTAGGTGAAATGGGATAAAAATATTAAATGATGGGCCTTTTGGAATTCAGAGGATATTTAAAGTAAACTCCAACTTGGTTGGTTACTGCTGCATTATTATAAAGTTGCATTTATCTTTCTGAAGCTGGCTTGCAAGTAATCACATTAAGCAGAACTGCATGCTTACAAGGCAATTTAAAAAGCCACCACTGTTACTATTAGCCATGTAAAGGAAAATACACATAAAGGAAATACAGTATATGATGACTGTTTAAAAATGCATCTCAGCTTTAACACAGCATAGCCAAATTACTCAGAAAAACTGTTAACAACTCAAAGCTGTTTATATTAACATATCAACAAATCTATAGCAGTAAGAGGCCAAGGAAGAAAGGCAGGAGGCCCTGTCTTACTTGGGGTGATTTCAAACTGAGCTTTTGTATGGATGTGATGGTTATCCACTAGTACTGTTTACTGATTGGGGATCATTTTCCCTCTTTGACAACTGTCCTAAATGTTTAAAATGCAAAATGTCCTGCAAATAAAAAGAAAACCAAGTATATAAGAGGAATTCATAAAAACCAAGGCAACTACTCCAAAAACCATTTCAAAACCTCTTCACAAACTAAAATGTACACACAAATATTTGTAGTTGCAGTTGTTTGATTCTGGGACAGGCTGTTTGTAAATAAATTGTCTAGAACTGCCAAGAGGTGGAGTTTACATCATTAAAAGAAAATACATTTTGACAAAATAATATTCTGTGATTTCTCCATCACTGAATATAGGTTATTACAGGATTCATGAATAATGATGGCCTATATCCTGTAGTCTATTAAAAAATGGCATAACTTGTTCTTTGAGTACATATTGCTAATTGCAGGCTACTGCCCATGCAAAAGACTCATTTGTGTATTATCACTGTAAATGACTGCACAAATTAGGATTAAAACTGCGTCCTGAAAGGACTGTGCAGTAGCATAAAATACAACATGCAGGGTTATTTTAACATATTTGTAGACAGATAATATTGTCTGATTTGAATCTCCTAGCCCATTGGCCTACTGGCTGAAATGTCAACAGCATTAAGTCAGCTATTCATTCTTCAAGGACAACATGTGAGGTACATGTAGTTTATCCTTTGAGACAAAACTTTAAAAACAAAGGTCCTATCTATTTTGAATGGACATGATGCACCATTATTGTTACTATTAATTATTTGTGCTTATAGGAGGAATTGTCGCTAGTATATAGTGTGCCTACTGTTTAGCAAAGACTTAGCAGAATTTGAGACCCTATGTGCTAGGAGATGTGCAGACACTTAGTAAAAGACAATCATTGTCCCAAAGAGCTTATACTCCAACCAAACAAGACAGTGTCAAGGAAAGGAATTTATATAAATCCCCATTTTACAGATGGAAAATGCAGAAAACACCTGAGAATGGCATTCCCTCTCCCACAATGTACTTGACCACAAACATCCTTCTCTCCCACTCATAGGTGACTGGTAGGGGGGGTACATGCCCCCCTGACAGGACCACCCCCACCGCTGCTGCCAGCTTCTGCGTGTGCCCCCTCAGACTTGAGAGGCACCAGTTGCCCATGCTCCCACTGTTGTGCAATATGCTGTGGACTGATTGGTTGCTAGCCTCTACCAAGAGGTTGTTACTTTGCAGAAATTCTGCATGTGTAGTTTTTTTAATGCTTTGGGGTTTTATGCAATGAAAGGAGCTAAGGAAATATAAGATGTTTTACTTTAGCTCCTGTTGAGTTATTTTAAGGATGAAAATTTCAGCAATTTTGAGTTTGTAGAGATATGAGGGTCTGCAAGAATCTTATGGCTGTGGCTCACTGCTCTACAACTACATTATTGCATGAATTCCACATTCTGCAGGATCCTGTAGCACCTCCATGTTCTCGCAGCATACTGCATGTTTTAATGCAGGTCAATCATAAGCAAGATTAGAGACCACTTCCTAGGGTTCATGGTATGCTAGAAGCACCAGGTCAACATTAGAAAAGGCCCTGAGCAAATAAGCAAATGCATCAAGCTCATTCTGTAACAATGAGATACCCTTGCAACAGCCTTTAATTAAAAATGTAAAATTAGATCCTTGTGGAACCTTGGTTAGACTGAGAGTGGACTATGGTCTCTAAAGGGCAGATAAGTCTGGAGATGACTTATTTCTCTTTTTCCCATTAAGTGAAGTAAGGAAGGCCAGTTGCAAAGTATTTCTCTCCCACTCTTGGGCAGGAGCCCAGTCAGAGACTAGGCTGAGCCCATACTGGAAAAAAATGCAAAGATTAGTCAAGAATAATGTAAGACATTCAAGAAAAAAATGCCTGGAACAGGTCTAGTTAAAATCTCATCTCAGGCATAGTCTTTGTATCTTTGCGAGAATGATCCTTGTGCTACTTCTACTTTGGGAAACCCTCAAAGAACAAGGTAGGATTAAAAAGTTAATAGCAATGCAAACTTTCGAACTGGCAGGAGCCTCACTCCCTCCTATCCAGCTCTTCGTGAGGAAAGATAATTTCATCTTTGTGTTTCTGTGTCCCTGATTAGAAAATAGATTAGAAAGTGATAATACTTCCCCACTTTGCAGGGATACAGACATTTTGCCTATGAATACTTTGTAAAGAACTTTGGGTCTTAAATGAAAATTCCAACAGAGCAAAATATTGCTGCTGTTATTTATTGACTGTGTTTATTATTACTGCCAAATGCCTGTTCAACCTATTTATCTTGCGTACCTAGTGCCTACATCTGAAATAAATTATGTCTAAAGCTGAAATAGCCACAAAGTTCAGTGCCCCTTGAGGTGAACATACAAGAAATACCTATAGGTATTAACTTTTTCCTGCAGAACCCAATGCTGCTGTCTATGGAAGTGAACAGCAAATTGGTAAAATAAGCCATCTCTTACATGGGGGAGTCTAGCATTTCCTAAATGAATCGCGCAATGGGAGTGGGACAGGCAAACCACTGAAGAAAGGGTCATCATCAACGCTGTATGCCTTTACTAGAAAACAATCCACTGGAGTATTGCTATAAAACATGCAAACATCCAGAGGAAGTGACAGCAATTTACAGTAAACACTAGGTGTAAACAATTACCTGTGACTTGTTACATCTACTTATACCAGCAGCTGGCTAAACAGGCCCACACAGTCATAGATGTCTGTCCCCATCAAGCACAGCACTGGAAAATAATTATTTAGTAGCTGATTTCCCTGAACTAAGAAAAAGTCAGTCTTGGTATGCGATAGCTAGCAAAGACTGAGAAAATATAGATGTTTATAGATATATTTTGAAAAGTTGAAGAACTAAATAAGCAAATAGGGCATCTTTCTAAGAGCTATGAGGACACTTTTTCTGTCCATCCACCCTCAGTAGGAAGATTTGAGTATTAGGTGAAAGATACTGTTTTAATGGCTGGTCAGGGTCGAACCTACCTGAGCTGGGCATGGGCATAAAATAACTGCAACAAGGAAGGAAGTGATGAGAGAGTGGAAAAGTGTCCAGCAATTCCAACTATTCCCTGCCCGAGACGCAAGCGGGTGTAGTTTGCTTGTCCTTCAGTTTTCCGCTTTCTTCTAGCATTATTTTAGCATCATCCTATTTCCATCTTGCCACCTGCAGGGTGTTCCTTCCAATCTGGTTTTACTAAATGGGTATTTTAAACTTAGGAGGCAGCTCATGAATATTTGCTAGCACGCAGCACACTTGAAATGACAGGTTTCACTCCTGCTTGATCGTGCCCAAGGCCTGCCATGCAGGAGGGAGTCAGTCTGGGTGTCTTGCAGCATGGCAATGCTTGTCTAATAACGATTTTCAAAGCGGGTGAGTGGCACAAATGCCTGGTGGCTGTTGGGAGGTGTGTCCTGCAGGGTCTTGAGGGAGTTCGTAGGGGTGCGGTGGTGGCACCTGACCATGCTAGGACATCTCTCCTTGCGCCTTGCGTCCCAAGGCAGAAGGTTGAAGGACAGATCTGCCTCATGGTGGAGGGCGCTCTGAGGGCATCCCCCCCCAGGGCACTCGGCTTTAGGCCACTTCTCCTTCAGTGCTGCCATTGCAGATGGGCTCCTCTCCTGGTGTCCCTCCACTTGTGAGGGGCTCTCCTGGGGAGGCGGCGGGTCCTCCTGACAGCCCCCTCACCCAGCAGGTGCCTCGCCCGCAGGCCTCCCCCAGCAGCGGCAGCCGGCGGGGAGGCCCGGCC